TGTAACAAGCTCCTCTCTCTGAACTGTAACCTGCCGCTGGGGAGAGGGGGTAGCAGGCTCCTCTCCCTGACACACTCTCTGCTGGTGGTGAGGGGGACCAGCTGTCTCCCCTTTCAATATTTTGTCCTGCTGCTGGGGTGCGAGACTGATGGTCTCTGCTCCCTGCAGGACACTCTGCCGCTGGGGAGGAAGGACGACACCTTCAGCTCCCTGGGATACAATCTGCCACTGGGGAGGAAGGATGACACCTTCAGCTCCCTAGGACTCACTTGACCGCTGGGGAGAGGGACCAACTGTCTCCTCTCCTAAGAACACACACTGCCGCTGGGGAGGAAGGACGACACCTTCAGTTCCCTGGGATACACACTGCCGCTGGGGAGGAAGGACTGCACCTTCATCTCCCTGGGATACACACTGCCGCTGGGGAGGAAGGACTGCACCTTCAGCTCCCTGGGATACACACCGCCGTTGGGGAGGAAGGACGATACCTTCAGCTCCCTGGGATACACACTGCCGCTGGGGAGGAAGGACGACACCTTCAGCTCCCTGGGATACACACTGCCGCTGGGGAGGAAGGACTGCACCTTCAGCTCCCTGGGACTTACTCTGCCGCTGGGGAGGAAGGACGACACCTTCAGTTCCCTGGGGTACACCTTTGAGTCCCCGTAACGCACTCTGCCACCGGATAGGGCGGCCGATACCTTTGGCTGGATCTGCCATGAACTGCAGGTACTCGTCTACCTGGCTCCTTACGAGCTGCACGTATTTCTCCGGGGGGTTGGGTCCAAAGAAAGCCAGCCGCATGGTAAACTCTCTGTCATACTGCTCCTGAGTGTAGCTGGGTGCCATGCTTGCGCTGCTGAAGTTGGTTCTTTTGTAGATAGGGTTGCTGTACGGGTACTGGCGTTGCCCTCAATTTGTAATCTAGGAACTGGTGTTGTATTATAGCTGTCCTTCTGGGCTGTGGAAATGATCCCGTCGCTTGCCACCAATGTAACGGATCACCTGGCACCCCGACTGGGTACCTCCGTTGAAGGATGCTCCTAGCGCTTCCTGAGGACTCCAAGCACTCTGGCAGACACCACAATCACCGAACCGGAGAAACAAATAAATTCTCCCAAGCATTTGAATGCTGTAGACAGTTGAATAGGAAACCATACGAATAGGTTTACCCTCCTAGCAGTCAAACTGGAACAGCATACAATAAATCCTTCCCCCAATAATGAGACGACACTTCACTTTGAGGGTTAAAACAGGAACTGACTGTAATGGCCACACACTGGTTTTTATGCAAGTCCCCATGCAAGGGGACATCCCACAGGGTGGGACACAGTACAACCAATCGTTACAGGGGAACCATAAAACACACCCACATTTACATCACAATCCCTTCTCTCTGTCCAGGAGATAACTGTGAAGTAATCCAATTATCTCCCAGGACAGAGGCAAGACTCCATTAACCACATGGCAGTAACAATACAATAAAAGACATAAAATTACATACAGTTACATTTATTCCATAAAACATAGACATTCTACATATCCCCAGATAGCTTAGATCTGAGTGCACATTACTACCGAATGGCGCTCAGATAACATAAATACAGTTCAATCGCCATGGAGCCAAAGTCTTTCATACAGTCTTTCAGTATACGGCTGGGCTCCATGGCATAGCTATCTGGGGTAGCATGGCTTTAACAGTCTACAGAAAGGCATGAATACGTTTTGCAGGGAAAATAAAAGGTTTTAACTGCCGGGCCATAGTCTAAAGGGAGCAGGCGAGCAACCAGGCTCCTCCAGTGGACAGTGGCGAGGCTGGTTTCGCCACAATATGGTTATTTTATTTATCTATTTTTAATTGATACTCACTGTTGTAAAACATGCATATTTAAGGAGTGGTAGGCAGAGGTTGAGCTTGGGTACTAGGAGAGTCTCCGTGTTTGTCAAACAGTGTAACAGAAAATGGGAGTACAGAACCCCAAAACCCCATGCACCATAATCACCAAAATTAGGTGTATTGGTTCTGGTGCATATAGTGCATATCATTTAATGTCATGGCATATCTGACTTGGCATTGATCCTTAAAAATGTTAAAAAATATGATAGTTTTTAACATTGCCATAATTTACTAATAGATTTATTATTTCTATATATTCTTGTTAATTCTTTCATATTGTTATAAGATAAATTAAAGTCCTGGCTTTAATAACCTTCTAATGTTTTAGCCTCCATCTTCAGGGGTAGTTTCATCTTCAATATTTTATTGCCAATATGGACAATTAACTTGCCAGCAGTGCTTATTAAACCCACCTGTTCAAAACATGTGGATACCAATGTCCAACATGGTTAGAGTGATAAATTATTTTTTTCATTATGAAGTTGTTTTTATAACATGCAATCATCATATCATCAGAAATTACATTGCCCAATTTGTGCGGTTACATATATGTTTTTTGTTTGTAGGGTCATGCATATGTGGGAGGTGTGAATGTCTGCTTTTAGAAAAAAGTGGACTGATTTATGGAAAGTTCTGTGAATGTGACGATAGAGAATGTATTGATGACGAAACGGATGAGATCTGTGGAGGTAAGTACACAATTCTAATGAATGTCTCAATTAATGTTTTGCCTTTTTGATGTCTTGTTTGTGTGTGTAATGTTTCTGTCATTCAGTAATTTAGAATACTGATGCATTCATCCATACATCACCATTGAAAACATTATAAATTTAAAATGTATATCTAGGTTTCAAATGTAATATTAGATTTTAAAAAAATCAGTCTTGCTATCACAATTAAAGGGACCAAATAAGCACTGAAACAATGTTAGGATCAAAGGGACACTACAGTATACGCACTATACTATACTATACTGAACTCTGACTGGTCAATTCTCTACCATTTAGGAGTTAAATCACTTTGTTTATACAGACCTGGTCACACCTCCCTGTATTAAACTCACAAATCCTTCCTAAACACTTCCTGTAAAGTAAGATCTAATGATTAACTTCCTTTATTAGACGTTCTGTTTAATTTAGAATTCCTTATATCCTGCTCTGCTATTATTATTATTGCCGTTTAAATAGTGCCAACAGATTCCGTAGAGCTTTACAATATCATGAGAGGGAGGATTTAACTATAAATAGGACAATTACAAGAAAACTTACAGGAATGATAGTTTGAAGAGGACCCTGCTCAAACGAGCTTACAGTCTGTAGGAAGTGGGGTATAAAACACATTAGGACAGGAAATAGCAATAACATAAAGTGGGAGTGAAGCAGAGCTGAAGGAGAGAGTAGAGTGCTGCCCTTTAGGAGAGAGCAAGAGACAGGTATGTAAGGTAGAGGTTACTCTGGGAGGCCATACGCTTTCCTAAAGAGATGGGTTTTAAGGCACTTCTTAAACAATTGTAGACTAGGGGAGAGTCTGACGGCGGTAATCAGGCTATTCCATAGGAAGGGAGCCACCCGCGAGACGTCCTGCAAGCGTGAGTTGGCCGTACGGGTGCGAGCAGCAGACAGGAGAAGGTCACGGGCAGAGCGGAGAGACCGAGAAGGGACATACCTATGGATTTGTGAAGAGATATAAGAGGGACTAGAATTATTCAGTGCTTTATAGGTATGGGTTAGCACTTTGAATTGACTCCTATAGGATACAGAAAGCCAATGTAATGACTGACAGAGGGGTGAGGTGTTAGAGGACCGATTAGAAAGGAAAATCAGTCTGGCGGCAGCATTCATTACAGACTGTAACGGGGCAATTAGGGAAGACCAATTAGGAGAGGGTCACAATAATCCATGCGGGAAATTACTAGAGCATGGACAAGCTCCTTGGTAGCATCTTGTGTAAGAAAGGGACGGATGCTGGCTATGTTTTTAAGATGGAATCTACAGGATTTGGCAACATACTGGATGTGAGGCTCAAAGGTGAGGCCAGAGTCAAGTATGACGCCAAGACAGCGCACTTGCAAGGATGGACTCATGTGAATACCACTAACTTGAAGGGAGAGTGAAAGAGGAGGATCAGTATGAGGAGGAGGAAAGACAAGGAGCTCAGTTTTAGAGAGATAGAGTTTCAGAAAGCGGGAGGACATCCAGTCAGAGATGGAAGAAAGGCAAGCAGTGACACATTGCAGGACGGCAGTGGAGTGGTCCGGGGAGGAGAGATATATCTGGGTGTCATCAACGTACAGGTGTTATTGAATTCCAAAAGAGGTAATATGTTTGCCAAGAGAGGCAGTATAAAGGGAAAATAGAAAGGGAGCAAGGACAGAGCCTAGGGGGACTCCAACCGAGACAGGACAAGGGGAGGAGGTATCATTAGAAAAGGAGACGCTGAATGAGCGTTGGGAGAGATAGGAGGAAAACCATGAGAGGACAGAGTCACAGAAACCGAGTGATTGAAGAATTTGAATAAGGAGAGCATGATCAATGGTGTCAAAGACAGCAGAGAGGTCAAGAAGAGTTAGTATGGAGTAGTGGACTTTGGATTTAGCTGTGATTAGGTTGTTAGTAACTTTGATAAGAGCAGTCTCAGTAGAGTGGAGAGGGCGGAAGCCAGAGGGAAGAGGGTCGAGGAGAGAGTTGGAATTGAGGAAGTGAGACATACTGGTAAAGACAAGTCTTTCCAGAAGCTTTGAGGAGAAAGGGAGCAGGGATTTGGGACGATAGTTAGAGGGGGAGGACGGGTCAAGAAATGTTTTTTTCAGGATAGGTACTACAGTGGCATGTTTAAGTTCTGCAGGGACAAAGCCAGAAGAGAGAGAGAGCAGTTGAAGATGTTTGTTAAGGAAGACGCAAGACAAGGGGAGGGAGATCTGATACGGTGATATGGGATAGGATCGAGCGGGCAAGTGGTGGGGCGAGAGGAAAGGAGAAGCACAGACACCTCTTGTTCAGTAGCCAGGGAGAAAGTCTGAAGGGTAGGAAAGGCATGATCTACGTGTGGTTGAGAAAGAGAAAGGCAGGGTGGGGAGAATTCTTTCCTTAGCTGTTCAATCTTGTCTGTAAAATAACATGCAAAGCTATCGGGTATAAGGTTAGATTAGGGGGTGGCCACAGCAGGGTGAATAAGAGATTTAAAGGTGTCAAAGAGATGCCTGGGATTGCGGGACCATGAACTAATGAGAGAGGGAAAGTATGACTATTTGGCGGTGGCAAGGGCTGCGTTTTATGAACACAATATGAATCTAAAATGGAGAAAGTCTGACTGGGTGCGAGACTTCCTCCAGGAGAATTCAGCACAACGGGAGCATCTTTGCAGGTAGCGTGTTGATGTAGTATGCTTTTTAGTAATAGCTTTCTAGACCCTCATGTGTGATTAAAGTTCAATTTACAGAGCAGATGATAAAAACTTCTAAAGTAGGTTAACATCTGATTGAAAAATTAACCATTTTGCTTTAATGCAGGCTCTGTCAATCATAGCCAGAGGAGGTGTGGCTAGGGCTGCATAAACAGAAACAAAAGTGATTTAACTCCTAAATGCCAGTGAATTGAACTGTGAAACTTCAGAGGCATGATCTTTATACTAAAACTGCTTCATCAAGATAAAGTTGGTTTGGTGACTATACTGTCCCTTTAACAGCTTGATTCACTACATTTTAAGGATAGAAATATATTTATACGATTAATAAAATTAAATTTGAAATCCGCATGCTATTTGAGGGTATATTTACTAGACATTTGGCTGTACACAGATAGCAGTGGGCTTGCTGACTGAGGTCAGAATAACTTAGGGGAGTTGCAGATTTTTATCAACTTTTTCACAGGTTTGCAAATTTGTTGAGTGGTCGTCACAACTCACAGCTAAGTGTGATAAATACCATAGGGTGGATTGAAAACTGTTTATCTCTAATTTTCCAACACTGTTGGAAAACCGGTGAGCTCCTAGTTCCCTATTCTTTTGAGTCCTAGCATAATCTCTGTCTTAACACACATGTGCTTTACCCAGCCCATATACTCCAACTCGTATTGTGTGATGGAATGTTAAAATTTATATCAAATGCTGGTCTCTCAACACACACTGAATTTCAAAAATACTGTGGCATCTTGCTTAGCCACTACTAGCAGCCAGTGAGCTGCAGGCAACTTATTTAAAAGAAAAAAAAAAGGATGACAGGCTTTTTATAACTGCATTTACGCTGCTGGCTAGGAAGTCACGGCACATTAAGCAGAAATACTGTTTCCCAAGAAGAAAGATATTAGACAGTAAAGAGGATGCATTTGTTCAAGAACTGATATTGTGGTTTCAAACTTGTTTTAAGAACTCCTCATTTTATTACACCCCTTAATTCACAAACAGGTAAGACAATAGGCAAATATATTATGGCCACAAGAGGGAACAAAAAATTTATAAAAATAAAAATATAAACCGCTATTATATCTCCAAAACTGAGTGACTCAACACCATATAAACAAATAAACAAACTAAAAATAACGGAGTAGCACTGTAGAAATTGTAAGTGTCTGAGAAATTGTCTCCAGTTTTACAAATCATTTTTTGTACCCGAGAAACATCACTCTAAAAATGTACTTATAAATGCATTTATTTTGTAAAAATGAAGTATGTATACAAATATATGTAGTTTGTTTTTTTCTCACTGTATAAAATTTGTTTTGGGTGCAGGCCACGGGAAGTGTTACTGTGGAAACTGTTACTGTGAGGCTGGTTGGCATGGAGATAAATGTGAATTCCAGTGTGATATCACCCCATGGGAGATCAAGAAAAGATGCACATCGCCAGATGGCAAAATCTGCAGCAACAGAGGTGTGTCATTACTAATGAACCTCACATCTGTATGTCTTTCAATTAGTCTTACACAGTAATTGTGCCAGGTTCTAATTTATTTGCCCAGTTTATTAATAACGTCCAGAATAATGTGAGAAGCACAGATACAAGCTCATAAAACATTCAAGCAGCTAATGCATTGTCTGTCACTTTCAGATATAAGATTTTTGAATGCAAATATCATGGCCGTATTTATTGCGGATTAGATCATATATGGTTTGTATTTATGAAAGTCTGCTATTAATTTCTTGTTGCTCTGTAGCCCTCTCTCCCATGTTTTGCCACTTCCTGCCCACTCTGTCTTTGCTGCTCCATGTTAGCCACCTGTTCCCATTCTCTCGTATGATTGCATACAGTACATTTTCGACTTTGATGTGAAAATGAGTCATGATGTTGCTGCCATTAATAAAACAAGTCAGTCCTTTCAGTGCAGGACTGTCTTTCCAATGCCAATACTGAGAGACTGACAGCAGCTAAACAATAGCTCCTACCCACCTGTGGAAGAAAGTGTATACCTGTTTTTCTTTGTGGCAGAGAGAATCCATAAACTATTGGTAAAAAAAAAAAACAAGCTAAGGAAAACTCTCTAGCTAGAACAAGCTGGAGATTTTTATTTTCCAACTCACCCAAGAAGGATAAAAATGTCCATTCCCACAGAGCAGGGTAAGCCAGGAGATGCACCGAAAGGCGTGATTAACTCATGCATTGCAATATGTCACACAACAAGGTTAAAAAATGTTTTTCCAGTTTTGATTTAAAAATGTGCACACACTATACACAGACAGGGTGCATTTACCATTCTTGCTGCCTCAAAGCAAGTTTCCTTAAAAGGAACACTCCAGTGTCCAAATACAAGCAAAAAAAAAAAAAGAATCCCTGTGTAGTAGAAGTGCGTTTTTTCATTGGTGTTATATCTAAAAACAGCTTCCAAAAGCTGCAGATCTATTGCTTGCAGCATTTGTAAGCCCTCCCCCTTCTAACCCCTTTAAGCCTTGTGTGGCTACCCAATCACAGACTTACCAGTTCAGCTCAGTGAGAAGTCTTTGCAAGGCAGGTGCTCTGACAAACTGCTGCCTCTTGAATTTAGTTTCACTGATTTAACCAAACCAGGAAGAAACATGAACAGTTGTCCAATTAACAGCCAGGAGGCTTTAATAAGGTTAATTTACAAAAGTGCAATTTTCCTTTTTGTAAAATGAGAAAAAGTGGACACACTCTTCACCCATAAAGCACTACAGCAAGCTGAAGAAAGTCTAGAATGTCCCTTTTAATATATATATATTTGGTGTATGTGACTGGATGGGTAAATGCGGCTAGTTTGTAGTATGATTGGAAGGTTAATTTGACTAAGTGGGTGACTGGATGATAAGTGGGACAGGGCTGAGAGAGGATGGTATGGTATGTGTGTGTGTAAGAAACCTTGTGTTAATGCATGTGTGGGTGCTTTAGGGTGTGTTTGAGAGGGATAGGGGATGCGGGATAAGCATTGAGGTGGACTGTAGGTATGTTGAGAGCTGTAGAATGTTTGGGAAGGCTATAGGCTGTAAGGTATATTAGTGGGAAGTGGGCTGTAGGGTATGTTTAGTAGAATGGACAGTTGTAGGGTGTGTTTTGGAGGGCAGGGTCTGTAGAGCATGTTTTGGGAGGAAATTAGGACTGTATGATATGTGTGCAGGAGTGAAGTAAGGTTTGTAGTGTATGTGATCGAGGACAGTAGGGACTGTTTGGGTTGATAGGGAATGTTGTGTGTGTTGCGGGGTAGAAAGGGCTGCAGTGTGTGTTGAGGGTTAAATTAAAAACAAAATTAATTTAAAAAAAAATATATATATATTATTAAGATAATTAATATATATTACTATTCAGTTTTAACATTAAGGGACAATAATTTTCATACATTGCTTATGGATATGTTGTACAGCCTTTCCCCTCTCCCCTTTCCCCCTTGTTCCTCTCTTTTGATTCCCCCATTCCCTCACTTTATTCCTTTTTTCTCATAACCACATTTAAGTCACCTGTTCCCCTCTTCTCTTCCGTCCTTTCATGATTTGTATCCCTGCCTCCAAGCACAAACCTGATTGCTGCCCAGTGTTGCAGAGAAAGAGCAGGCAGGTGTAGGTGTGATAGAATTTACTTTGATGCCAAGGTTCAAGCTTATAGGTTTCAATTTAGATATCCTATTTTAAAATTGGCTAACTTGGACTCACTAAATGCTTGAGCCGACGCTTAAGACCATATATGTCTAGTTCCGGGAGCAGATAGCCCCCTCCTGAGCTGTCTCTTCTCAAATACTTCTGTTCTTTCTCTTTCTTGGAACTTATCTGTTATATGTACATAACGTTCATCCATATGTTTTATCTGTACTCCTTTTACCCTTTCACTCCCTTTCTACTACTTTCCTATGAGTATTTGCACGTAAGCACTTACTTTTTAATGTATAAAAACACAGCTGACAAAATAAAGGTCAGGGCTTATTTTGATAACCAACACGCGTCTGGTGTCTAATTCACGCTTCTCCAAGTGCACTTGAAATAATAATAATTTGGGCTTCCTCTGAATATAACAAAGATCAATATTTGGATCTATATCATAGGTATGCTGACGTGATATCCAACGTACACTTCTGTAATGCCTGGTAGGAAGAGAGGACTTGTCACCACAGTTGCCATCCAAGAAGGGGAACAAGTACTTCCCCTCATTGCCCTAGCGCATCACTACTCCAAATATACCACCAATAATTAGCAGCATGATCAAGGCATGCCGCCTTCTTCCGCTTACCGCCCAGAAGATATGGCATTGGTGGCCTTATCAGAAATCCAGTCCTGTACACAGTACAGTGGTCTACAAAATAAAGAGTTAAAAAATATATGCATGTTACTCTGTATGTGGTTTATTCTGCTCTGTTACCTAGAGAGTTACACAAATTGCACACAGATAAAAGTTCTACAGACTAAACATTAAAGCACTCCATGCTTTTCCTCTTGGCTGCTGTCTAGAGCACTATTACTGTATAAAAAAAACAAAAGCCCAAAGAAACCCTCTTTTAAATACATCTTCACTGACAATGACTGCTACAAAATGAGCATCTAATTAGCCGAAGAGCATTTAAAAGCTCTCTCCTATCTTAATTTTGAGGAAAGCTTGGCTTCTGTACAGATTTAGTGGAGCTATATTTAATATCTACTCTGTGCTAGGGGAGACATCAGAACTCTTGGAAACTAAATATAAAATAATTATATGTTAAATTGAAGGCTAATCATTTTAATATGTTTGGCACATAAGTAAGCATGTAAGTTCTGACTGATCAGCTTGATGAAAGTGCTAATTTGTAGCATACAATCATGCAAAAACGAAATAGCCTTTTACTAGGATAAGCCCATTCTCTAGCGCATCCCTTTAATATCCCAGGTGCGTTGGCATGAATACCCATGAATATTAAATATTAGATTATATATTAGATTATAGACTTAAAAAGATTTCACTGCACTGGTTGAAGACCATCTGGAATTTGGGTCTGTAGCTATTTTTCTTAAATGGCTGCTGTTTAGACAATGTCACTTACTCACTCACTCACTCACTCAATGATATGTTCTCTTCAAATTAATTCATTTACTTGAATGAGTTTGAGACAGTTGGGATCACTGGAAAACAGGTTGTAAAAAATACTATGATTTTTTTTTTTTTTTTAACTGGTCCTCTTCATGGTCTCATTGTCTGTCTTCATGTCCCTTGCATTGTTTTAGCCTGATTTAGAGTTTGAAGCAAAACTCATAGAGTGAAATACAAAAGAGAAAAAATAGGAATAAAAACCAGCGCTTATATATCTCAATATTCAGAATAATATGCCAATAAAACAAATTGTGACAAAGATTAGCTTCTAAACATTCAGACAAAACCTTCCAAGTTTGCAAAATAGAATATTTGAAAAACAAAAGAATGTAGCGCTTATATTTCCAATAATAAATTATCACCTTTTGGTATCATAGAGAAGACGGGAAAACTTGAACAATCGGTGAATCGAATGCCTATAACACAAATAACCAAATATAGTGTAGACAGTATGATACTTAATAATATATTGCACTTAAATAGTAAAGCTCACTCACAAACAAGGAGCTATGGACCTAGCTCCAGTTAAAATCGCATGTGGATCCGTTTAGGCGATCCTCCCCTATTTTAAATGGTGGAACGTATCTTGTCCTGAGGGTAAAGCAGAAACGGAAAACAATTGCGCAGTATCTCTGGTAGAAAATCCAAATATAATAAAATTCCCAAGTGGGTACTTACAAGGTTGGAGTCAAAACCTATGACTCAATTCAAACGTATTGTGCAGTTAGGGACTGCACTCCCATCTGTAGTAAATAAATCCAGGGGTCCAAAGCAAACTTCAATTTATTAAAACGATAAATAAATAAAATATAAACGCGTTCTGGTATAGAGCATATTGCTGTACACTACATTGAGTATTGAGCATATTGCTGTACATTAATTTTAAAGCATATTGCTGCATATTTTATATTTTATTTATTTATCGTTTTAATAAATTGAAGTTTGCTTTGGACCCCTGGATTTATTTACTACAGATGGGAGTGCAGTCCCTAACTGCACAATACGTTTGAATTGAGTCATAGGTTTTGACTCCAACCTTGTAAGTACCCACTTGGGAATTTTATTATATTTGGATTTTCTACCAGAGATACTGCGCAATTGTTTTCCGTTTCTGCTTTACCCTCAGGACAAGATACGTTCCACCATTTAAAATAGGGGAGGATCGCCTAAACGGATCCACATGCGATTTTAACTGGAGCTAGGTCCATAGCTCCTTGTTTGTGAGTGAGCTTTACTATTTAAGTGCAATATATTATTAAGTATCATACTGTCTACACTATATTTGGTTATTTGTGTTATAGGCATTCGATTCACCGATTGTTCAAGTTTTCCCGTCTTCTCTATGATACCAAAAGGTGATAATTTATTATTGGAAATATAAGCGCTACATTCTTTTGTTTTTCATAGAGTGAAATGCTTGCAAACAGCATTAAAAAGTTCTACTTAACATTTTCTGGTAAAAAAAAATAAAATAAACAAATGTTGAGCAACGTTCAGCAGTATGTTCTACAGCTCAAAACTGTAGTAAAAGTTGAGACTCATTTCAAACAGGTTTTAATACGGTTAAGGATAAACTCAAGCTGGTGGGCCCACAGTGGTCTAGTTGCGAAGATATTTGACAACTGATCTGCATTGAAGATATCCAGTAGAGCGGATCCTTACTTGGGAGCCCATTACTCTGCGGCAGGGCTAGGAGAATGTGACATTGTGCCCTTCATCCCAGGATACAGGAAACCGCAGAGCAAGGGGAGCTAGGAAAGTACACAAGTTGCCGATGCTGCTGGACCCCTAAGAGCTACACCCTTGCAATATGTGTATGTACATATTTCAAAGTGTGTGTATGTGTATGGCAGTGTGCTTGTGTTTGGAATTGAGTATTTATGATTTTTTTAAGGAGCCCAATATTTATGATGGCTTTTAAATCTTTGTGACATGTACATTCTCACTGTCCTACACTCTGCAGTCTAGCTCTTTCCTGATTTCTTGCCAGAGACGCACTTTGCATAACAAGGGTGTCGTGTCACAAAATACATAGTACATGTTCACTGCACCATATCCCTTGTCCTCTGCTCTTGAATGTTTTATTTGCCAGATAACTCACTGCCCAGCAAGTGTACCATTGGACTAGTGCACAGAACAAGCCTAGGTACTAACCACTATACAAGTTTAGCTACGGAATATTTTGCATACAAAAATCGTAGGTAATAAATAAAGGGCATCTTCAAATTTGTCATTGAAGATTGCACAACTGGCCTGTTTCCATGCTTGTCACAATCATTTAGCGACAAATCGGTAATCTCTAAAATGGCTGTTGCTATTGTTGTTTAACGTCTGGCAATTAGTAGCTGCCAAGTTTTAACGTATACCATAGATATTAATAGGAGTTGCTAAATGCTAAGTAGCACCTGCTCTCCATGCTAAATTGTAAAACTTACCGCCTGTAGTTATCTGACTAAAAATTACACCTGCCTCATCTAGGCATAAATAGATCCCCTGGACTATAAGGAAGGGGAGGCATGACTGCTGCCACACAGTAAGGGGTGTGGAATTATGGGATACAATTGTGGCAATATGGGGCAGTATAAGTATGTGTGCAAGAGGAGGGTACTCACCATTCCTAGAAAGAAAGGCTGGAACAGGTTTTTCCCTTCTTTCCATATACGAAAAAGAAAAAAGAAAAAGAAACTTTATCAGAAGCTGTGTAAGGAGTGGATTGTCTTACCTGTTTGCTGATTTTATTAAAGGACACGGAGGCTCTTATTATGCTTTACTCTTTCCTTTTATTCCTCAGCAGCAAAAGAAAATATTGTGTATATATATTCAATGCAAAAAGAAAACACTTCAATAACATTACATCATAACTTTGCAAGGGTTAACCATATACCACATATGAACCAATCAGAGTGTCCCTATTACAATAAAGTCCCATGTGACCCTAAGCCACTCCTCTTTCTTTTGCTGCTGCATCCTCAGCTAAGTACCATATTTTTCTCCCTCTGTGTTGCATGCCAGTTAAGATTGTATTTATTGTTCTTTTTCAGCCCTCTCCCTTTATTTTCATCAGTTTGTGTTCCCTTTGACTCTATCCTCTGTCTCCCTGCATCTCACTCCCTTCCCCCTCCCCCCTCCGGTCGGTTTGTTTATTTCCCGACCGTCTTCCCCTTTCCCTCCACTACCAGGGCTTCCCCCCGCTCAGGTACCTCTGTCTTTTCATGGTCCCAGCGGACCGCCGTTTTACCGCGGCTCGGGCCGCCCGCGCATGCGCACACCGTGAGTGCGCATCGCGGCGGCCATCTTGGGATTGGCAGTTTTGCCGCGCTTTTTCTAGCGCGGCCAATACTGCTCGTTTGGGGGCGGGAGTTAGTGCTCTGTTGCTGGGCAAGTCTCCCGGTGCTCCCCAGGAGCTTATTCCTGAGGGAACACTCGGTGAGCTTGCTACAGTTCTGTTTAGTCTGTGCCTGTTTGCATTGTTCATATTTCAATTGGTGCCTTTTGTGCCTGCTAGTTGCTTTAGGGCTACTGTTTCTTTGCATATAACTCCCTGCTGGGCTGCTCAATTATATAAACAGTGTTTCTGCCTGTCCTGCTGCCCCCTTTTGTTTTTTTCTTTCATCCCTAAGCATGCAGGCTGATAACATGGCTGATGGAGCCACCAAACCTAGGGCCACCATACCCACATCAACCCCGCTAGGGCCCAAAATTCCCACTGTAATTGAAACAGCGCAGGAGCAAATGGACTCTGAGGAGTTTCATTCTCTCCTAGACGCGGCTATGGCGAAGTCTGTGACGCAGGATATATTTACCGCCATGGGTGCCATGTCGGATAACTTATCCCATTCAATAGCCACTGCAATGAGATCCACGCAGTTGCCACCAAACCCTATGGCTAACCCCCCAGAAACTGAACCGGTGGCCCCTAGTGGGCGTAAAGCCGCTAAAAAATCTCGCCATTTAGACGAGTATGCCTCCGCAACTCTACAGACGGACAGGGCACGTCCTGTCACAGAACCTGTGGTTTGACCACAACTAAGAGCCCCCCGCCGGGCAAAATCGGTGAGGAAATGGAAGAGGGCTAAGGCCCTAATTGAATCCTCCGACTCTGAATCGGAGCAAGAGGAGGCACAGAGCGAGTCCGAGGAGGAGGACTCTGATGATTCCGATAACCAAGTGCGGGACTATGACTCAGTCACGTGCACGGACATGGACCGCAAGGACGGAGCTGGCGACTCCGCCTTAGTTGACCCCCAGGGTGAACCATTGTTCGACCCGGACACCCTCCAACACCCGAGGTCCTCCGAGTGGTACCCTCTGGACAACGTAGCGAAATATATCGCTGCCGGCATCAGAAAGCCACTGGATGAGGTGGCGCGAGACAAGCTGCGGGCAGAATGCCCAAGCCCCGCGGTCCCGGATATGGCATGTGCCACCCCAGAAGTGGACCCAAAAATCGCCCAATTTTTGGGAAAATCAGGCTGGAAGGCCAAGAAGGGCCTAGATTTTGCCTGGCGGAACTGCCAGGATAAAGTGTTGGACATCCTTGGACCAATCGCGAGGATGTTTGATATGGTTGAAATCGCGTTGGCAGGGGGTGCACCGCTGGACCTGGAAGCCCTCAGAGGGTGGATCCAGCGTGCCGTGTGTCTCCTGGGCAACGCTAATACGGCAGTGGCCACGGAAAGACGCAAAGCGATCTTAATCAAAATTGAGCCTAAGCTGGTAAACCTAGCTATCTCAGAGCCGGGTCCCCAGGCTAAAGCCCTCCTATTCGGGGATAACTTTGTGAAAGAGCTAGGCACATATGTAGGCACCTTTACGGCACTGGATAAGGCTCAAGCCAGCATGAAGCGAGTGTTCCATCAGAAGGTTTTTGGCGGGGCCAGCAGATATCGGGGCCGTCTGCCCGGCCGCTCGCCCCGGGGCTCATACCGGGGCTCTCGTGGCTCCGCACAATCCAGATTCACACCCCCGGAACCCAAACAAGCCTCACCGTTCTTTCCAGTCCGAGGCAGACCATGGCAGACCCGAGGACCCAGAGGCTCTTCATATGGCCGACGTCCTTATGGTAAGTGCACTACCTCATCATATGCCTGCATTAACTATGGTGGGGGGCAGACTGGGCCATTTTGTCAAAGCATGGCACATGATCACGGCGGATGCCTGGGTGCTCCACACTGTACGGGGTTACTCTATAGAGTTTGTGCAATACCCTGTCCAACTGAAACCCCCCAGCCGAATGGTGGTCCCCATGCGGGACCGAGAGTTGATAACCCAAGAGGTCCAGGCCTTAGCCTCCAAGGGAGCGATTTATACAATTCCCCCTGTCACACCAGGTTTCCTGAGCAACCTATTCTTAGTACCCAAAAAAGGCGGAGGTGTTCGCCCAGTCATCAACTTGAGGCCTTTAAACATGTTTGTCGCATACCACCACTTCAAGATGGAAGGTATACACTCTCTCCGGGACCTCCTCCTCACGGGGGACTGGATGGTCAAACTCGACTTGAAGGACGCATACCTCACGGTCCCAATGGCCAACGACTGCCAACGCTTCCTGCAATTCCGCTGGGAAGAGACCATGTGGCGTTTCAAGTGCCTACCGTTCGGTCTCTCATCGGCCCCCTGGTGCTTCACAAAGCTCATGAAACCAGTGGTCGCCCTCCTACGCAGCAGAGGAGTACGGCTCATAATATACCTGGACGATATCCTCATCATGGCGCAAGACCCGCTTCTGTTGCACGAACATTTCTCTTGGATGAGGAATTTGTTAGAAAACCTGGGTTTTCTGATCAACTGGGAGAAGTCGGTCATCTAACCCTCGCAGGCAATAGAATTCCTGGGATTCACCATAGACACAGTGACCGGAATGCTCCTACTCCCAACAACCAAGGTCAAGGCCATCAAAAAGGAGCTCAAGCGGACGCTAACACGGCCTGTCCTTACCTTGAGACAGCTGGCCAGGATTGTGGGCCTCCTCTCGGCGTCCATTCAGGCCATCTTTCCCGGACCCCTACACTACAGGGCACTTCAACGATTAAAGGCAAAATACCTTCGTTTGGGGCACTCATACTCAGATTCTGTTCCTCTCGACTGTGCCGCCAAAGACGAAATCAAATGGTGGCTACAACACATGGAAGCGTGAAATGGCAGCGCGATCTTTGGAACAGCTCCGGACCTCATAGTGGAATCCGATGCAAGCTTGCTCGGTTGGGGTGCGCGCTGCGGACCTTTCTCCACCGGAGGAAGATGGTCTCGGGAGGAACAGGGACTTCATATCAATTGCCTCGAACTGTTGGCAGGTTCGTTCGCTTTACGGAGTCTTTTGAACGTGTCGACCAACTGTTCCATCCTGTTACGCATGGACAACGTTTCAGCGGTCCGTTATATCAACCACCTCGGGGGCACGAGGTCCGCAATACTTGCGGAATTAGCAAAGGATTTCTGGCAGTTCTGCCTGGATCGAAACATATCGGTGCAAGCGGAACACATCCCGGGGATGAGCAATGTAGTAGCAGACTGGAACTCCAGACATCTACGAGATGCCAGCGACTGGCGACTGAACCCGGCCACCTTCAGCCAATTGCAATCACTGTGGGGACCACTGGACATCGACCTGTTCGCGTCACGACTAAACACGCAATTACCGAGGTTTTTCAGTTGGAGGCCAGATCCAGAGGCTCTAGCGACGGACGCTTTCCGACAACAGTGGCCGAATGCCAGACATTACGCTTTTCCCCCCTTTTCCCTCATCGCACGGACCTTGCTGCACCTCAGACGACACCGCACGTCTCTAATCCTCGTGTCTCCGTTTTGGACGTCTCAACCCTGGTTCCCTACACTCCTGGAACTGTCAATAGATCTGCCGAGGTTACTACCAGTACACGACAACATTCTCCTGGATCCCTATGGCAATCCACATCCTCTCATACTGCAGGGACACCTCAAGCTTTTGGCATGGCTCCTCTCAGGGGACTCGGTGACATCCCAAATGTTCCACAAACAACTCTGGACCTCCTGGCAGGAGCTTGGGCCCCAGGTACAAGGAAATCGTATTTACATGCCTGGAACACATGGCATGGTTGGTGCGTGGAACAACATGTGGATCCCATATCTGCAACTGTGAGTCAAGTCTTGGGTTTCCTCACTTCACTTTTCGACCACGGCCTGGCGTATCGTACAATTAATCTATATAGGTCAGCTATCTCAGCAGGCCACGTAGGTTGGAATGGAATTCAAACTGGAAAACATCCGATGATATGCCGGCTCTTACGGGGCATAAAATTTGCACGACCACCACGGCCTAGGTATTCGGAGGTATGGGATGTGAACCTTGTTCTCCGACTTTTTGAAAGTTGGCCAAGGAACGAAGATTTGTCGATCAAGCAACTCACCGCAAAATTGGTTACGTTGTTCTGTCTCATCTCATGTAAACGGGTTTCAGACGTACGAGCATTGGACATTCAGGCACGCTCATATACACCAGAAGGGGTGGCCTTTGATATATCGAGACGTACAAAAACATCCATCACAAAGGTTTTTTACCCCGCATTTCCACATAACAGTAAATTATGCCCAGTAGCCTGCCTCAAGGAGTATGAAGCAAGGACGGTGGCGGTCCGAGATCTGCAATGTGCGGACCTCTTCCTGGCTATTCGACAACCGCATCGTCCGGTTTCTACAGTCACCATATCTCGTTGGGTCAAATGGATCATGACGTCGGCAGGCATTGATATTTCCACATACGGAGCACATTCAGTGAGGGGTGCGATGGCATCCAAAGCCTTTTCATTAGGCTGTAAATTGGAAGATCTCCTCCGAGCAGCCGATTGGTCGAGAGAATCTACTTTCCGGGAATTTTATTTCCGTCCGGTTTCCCATTTTTCCACGTCAGTGATCACACAGCTTTGAACTAGCATAATAAGAGCCTCCGTGTCCTTTAATAAAATTACCAGATTTTACTAATTTCATGACGTAAAGTCATGATTTTATAAAGGACACGGAGGCGAGTATTATCCCACCCAATAAAGGTAAGTTGCCCTCCTCTGGGAATGTAATGTATGTTATGGGACTTGAACTGTGTGATAATGTGTTATTTTAGTTTATTTTTTCGTTTGAGTGAATAACATGAGAATGATTTAGTGTTCTAGATAGATTTGGAATATGAACATGGAAAATATTATCCAAGAACACATTTTACCATCTCGTTTCTCTGTCTTACAGCTTCCTAATTGGAGTGCCATAATGGTCCAGGCATACCCGCAGGTGGGCGGATGGAGGATGACCAGTTTTTTCTTCAAGTTTTGTTGGTTTTTTTGTCCGACGTCATCTTCTACGGGATTCCCTGTTTTTCTCTACACGACTACTGGTTCTTTTCATGGCGGAATATTGGAGTGTCCATCAACAACACCAAAAGAAAGAGGAGTGGCTTAGGGTCACATGGGACTTTATTGTAATAGGGACACTCTGATTGGTTCATATGTGGTATATGGTTAACCCTTGCAAAGTTATGATGTAATGTTATTGAAGTGTTTTCTTTTTGCATTGAATATATATACACAATATTTTCTTTTGCTGCTGAGGAATAAAAGGAAAGAGTAAAGCATAATACTCGCCTCCGTGTCCTTTATAAAATCATGACTTTACGTCATGAAATTAGTAAAATCTGGTAATTACTTAAGATGGCTGCAGTGTCTAAGGATGCCCTGATTGGGATGCTGCAGGCTTACCTTTCTTCTCATGGAGCTGGCTCTCTGGCTGAGGTGATGCCCGGTTTACCGCAGGAGGTGAGAGGAGAGGACCTGCAGGAGGCAGAAAGCCCATCGCTGGCGAGTGGTAGGAGGCCTAGGCGGTCTAGGCCTCCTACTCGTCTTTCCCCAAGCCCAGTGAGACGAGGTGGCAGTGAGGTGGCTGGTCCGGTCGGGAGAATCACCAGGATCGTTGATGGCGTGGTGAGCGGTGGATCCCGAGCTGCCAGGAGGCGGTGGCGAGCTGCAAGGATGTCGGTGAGTCGGGCCCAAGATGGCGCTACGCAGGAAGAGCGCTCGAGGAGTCCCCCTTCTTTTCCGGCCGCACCAGAAATGACGCGCTCACGCCGGACGGCTGTACGGAGCGTGGTCGCGCCGGCAGTGACGTGCGGCGCGCACGTGATGACGTCACGGGCGCTTACATCGCGGAACCCGGAAGTGAGGGAAATTTGTCGCCTGGAGCCTCAGGAGAACTGGAAAGGAGCTGCAACAAGGGACAGGAGGCACCGGAGAGGCACTGTGGGGGGGGGCTGGCCCCTGGCTGATGAAGGAAGACGGAGAATGGTCACTACCAGCAGCCCAGGTGGCAGTGGACTCAGCAACTGACAGACTGGCCGGATGCCAGCTAACCCACAGGAGTCGAAGTCAAGATCACATGACTCAGATGAGCAGGACCACCAGGAAGATTGTGGCGACTGCCCTGGAGAGCGGGCTAACGTGGCAGCTCCTGTCAGCGGTGAGTTGGCCTGTGCTAGCACTTGGGGTAGCCTAGCTGGGGGTTCACATCAGGATCAAGGGGAGGGAGCGTGGTCGCGCCGGCAGTGACGTGCGGCGCGCACGTGATGACGTCACAGGCGCTTACATCGCGGAACCCGGAAGTGAGGGAAATTTGTCGCCTGGAGCCTCAGGAGAACTGGGAAGGAGCTGCAACAAGGGACAGGAGGCACCGGAGAGGCACTGTGGGGGGGGGCCGGCCCCTGGCTGATGAAGGAAGACGGAGAATGGTCACTACCAGCAGCCCAGGTGGCAGTGGACTCAGCAACTGGCAGACTGGCCGGATGCCAGCTAACCCACAGGAGTCGAAGTCAAGATCACATGACTCAGATGAGCAGGACCACCAGGAAGATTGTGGCGACTGCCCTGGAGAGCGGGCTAACGTGGCAGCTCCTGTCAGCGGTGAGTTGGCCTGTGCTAGCACTTGGGGTAGCCTAGCTGGGGGTTCACATCAGGATCAAGGGGACTTGCTGAGCCTGCTTAGGGAGGTCGTAGATAGGTTGCCACCCACGGCGCATAGCGAGACCCATAGGGAGGTGGTAGCTAGGTTGCCACCCACTGCGCACAGCAAGACATATAGGGGCATGGGGGCGCAGGCCACAGCAACACCGTCATGGGGTGGGGTGTTCCGCCCTCCGCTACCCAGCTGTGAGTTGTCTCCTTTGGGCATGCATGTCCCAGTCGAGACATGTGATAAGATTTTAAAGGGTGAATTTATAGATTTCCTCTCACTGGTCCCTCCTGAGAAGGACTCTGTGGATAGGCCATGTTGTGGCGATCCCCAGGACACGGAGAAGAGCAAGCAACTCCCACGGACGTTTGGGAATTGGTTGCAAGGTTTTGCCGTGTTCGCTAGTATCCTAACCAGGCGTTTTCCGGAGCGGGCGCCTTCCTTGTTCGGCTATCTAGACCTTATTTGGGGTGCATATAAGGTTTATGGCGGACAGAGCTGGTACCGGTATGACCAACAGTTCCGCCAAAAGATGGCGGCGTGTCCCGGGTTAGATTTTAGTACCCAGGATGGTTGCCTATGGCTGCTGATAATGACTCACAGTCGTCCTTCCCCCTTTTTAGGAGCAGCCGGGGCTCCAGCTGGGGCACTGGCTGGTCCAAAAAAAGGAGTGTGCTGGCTCTTTAATGAGAGCCACTGCAGGTGGTACTCCTCCTACCGATTTAGGCATGAGTGCTCGCATTGTGGAGGGGCTCACCCCGCAATGCGTTGCTTTAAGAAGGCGAGGCAGCCTGTGCCTAAGGCGGGGGGGGCGCGGGACGACGGGGCAAAGGGGGAAGACTCCAGTGAGCGTAGCAAGGATGTTGCCATGGCTCGAGCTCTACCCTAGACGCCACGACGCGGTGGTTCTGGGGGAAGGGTTTTCCATGGGTTTTTGGATCCCCTTTGTTTTTTCTCTGGAGCCGCGTTTGGCTGACAATCTCCGGTCAGTCAAGGGCAAGGAGGCCCTGTTGGGCGAAAAGTTGTCTAAGGAGACAGTGCTGGGTCGCATGGCTGGGCCATTGGATTTTCTCCCCTTTTCTAACTTGTGGGTCTCCCATCTGGGACTAGTCCCAAAGAAAGAGGCTGTCTCTTTTCGGATGATTCATCACTTGTCCTACCCGGCTGGGAGTTCAGTGAATGATGACATTGACAGAGTTCAGCAGGGTCCGGTATGCCTCTTTTGATCGGGCTCTATCACTGGTTAGAAAAGCTGGAGTAGGGGCACTCATGGCAAAATCTGATATTGAATCGGCCTTCTGGGTTGTCCGTTTCAAGGGTCATATTTTTATGACATGTGCCTTCCATGGGTTGTGCCATACCTGTTCCTATTTCGAAATGTTTGCTTCGTTTTTGGAATGGGTAGTTGTTCAGTTCTCAGGTATTGCGTCAGTTATTATCTCGATATTTTTTTTTGTGGGTCCTCGGGAGGAGGCTGAGTGTGCCCAGTTATTGTCGGCGTTCCGTGCAGTGGCGCACATGTTTGGAGTGCTGGTGGCGGAGCAGAAGACAGAAGGGCTGCTTACCAGATTGTCGTTTCTTGGTATAGAAATTGACTCGATTCGCATGATTTTTCGCCTGCCCGACGAAAAATTAGTGGTTCTGTTGAGGATGGTAGATCTGGTAAAATGGGCTAGGAAGGTCCAGCTCAGAACGTTACAGGTGTTGCTTGGTCATCTAGCGTTCGCTTGTCGCGTACTACCTATGGGTCGGGCTTTCTGTCGACGCCTGTCGTTGGCAACGGTTGGTATCAGGGAGCCACACCATTACATCAGAGTCACTGCCAAGCTGCAGGCCGTCTGTGTATCACCAGGAGATTGTCTGCTGTTTCAGGTGGCATTCTCCTTTTGCTTCTTTGGTGCGCTTCGGGTGGGGGAGCTGGTGGCCCCTTCCCTGCGGGCGATCCCCCTTTTACTGCTGTCAGATGTCCGCTGGTCTGATATGTTTGTGGACTTGCATATTCGTAGGTCTAAGACGGATCAGTCCGCAAGGGGCATGTGGTTGCGGGTGGGGCGTACTGGTGGGGTGTTGTGCCCAGTTCGGCTGTTTGGTCAGTATCTGTCCGTTCGGCCGTCGTCTGTGGCTTTGCTGGTTCATGCAGATGGGTCTCCGTTGACGCGTTTTCAGTTTGCATCGATGCTGGGTAAGGCGTTGCAGTATTGTGGTCGGGATCCAACCGGTTTCTCTCCTCATTCATTTAGGATCGGAGCAGCCACTCAGGCTAATGTTTTGGGATATTCGGGGTCACAGGTGCAGCGATTGGGTAGATGGTCATCTCGTAGGTATCAGCTGTACGTGCGGCCTCATTTACTGTAACTTGTCCTCTGTTTTAGGGTGTTCTTCCCGGTATGTTTGGATTGTAGGACACTCTTTCATCTATTGGACAGCTCAACGGGCAGAGTCACGTTCCTATGGTCGGAATTTGGGGATCCCAGCAGAGTTAGCAAGGGTTCGTTGGAGGGGTATCCGGGGTCTGTCATGGTGCCAAATCTACCCGGAGTGTTTTTCTCTCAGCAGGTTTGTGTCTGGGTCAGTTATCATTGTAATCCATGCGGGGGTAATGACCTAGGGAGGGTAAGGACGGTGGATTTAATACACGATGTACGGCGGGACTTGGCTCGGTGCATGGCATTATTTGCAGGGTGTTGTTTGGTGTGGTCAGAGATTGTCCCCCGTCCGTGCTGGCAAGCCTTGCCGCATGCAAAAGGGTTGTAGAGGGCTAGGCGGAAGTTTAATGTTGAGATTTCGAGGTTTGTTCGATGCCTGGGCGGTGTGTCATTTCGACACACGGAGTTGGAAGGGGACAATCTGAGTTTAATGAGGGCAGATGGGGTTCATCTGAATCCTATTGGGCTGGATATATTTAATGTGGGTATCCAAGGAGGGATTGAAACGGCGCTGTCTGCGGGGGGCGCGATGCCGACAAATGGAGATCAGGGTCGGCAGCGCGGTGGCGGAGGTCCTGGCCAGCGCAAGTAATGCAAGACAAGGCTTTGGGGAGTCACAGCTGCCAGGGCTGATGGCAGAAGGCAGACTGTACGAACTCTTGGAATTATCCGGGATATCTGTCTGCTGGGTAGTCATCCCAACAGCCGACAGGTGGTGATATAAAGCTGGCTGAGTTGATATGTTGGAATAATAAAGCTGTGGCCATTGCTCTTATCCAATACTCAGGTGTCTTGTCGTTATTGGGGGGCAACGGGAATGTAAGTGGTCTGCAGTCAAGAGGAAACACACGTTAATGACTTCAAACTCTTAATATATTCTACTTTAGAAATACATCTATATTTAAGTATATGTAAGTACTAGACTGGAGCATATATACAGACATTCAGTCTGAAGATTTCAGTAAATGCATGTTAAAGCTGTTAAGTCAGGAGTATGAAATTACTAAGGTAACTTCCTCAGACGATCAGAAATAAAATGTTCATGCTCGGAATATGGAAACATTTATTACTTCCTGGTGGAGTTCTAATGGCAGTGAATTTGAAAATGGGCTTTTTCTTGATGCACGTCCAATTTACATAACGGAAACACCAAATGGGTGTCTCTATGAGTGGAGGCGGGCGGGAGTTCTGTGCCGGGGTTAAAAGCAGGAGTGTATCAAGG